TGTGATGCCCAAGGCCTTGGAGGCATCAGTGCTCCTTTGATTGAATACATTTAAGAGGCTTTTTCTTGCTGCATAAATTGCTTTCTCGTGTCTTTGAAGTGACCTGTTTGAATTAAACATCACAGAGTGCTTTTTATATAGCTGTGCCAACAACACAGTGCAACTGGCATATCAAAAATGAGATAAAGTGGCCTGGATATCACCAGAGTCAGGGTGGTATTTAGTTTCTTGTGCAGCTTGTGCTGTATTTGTATTTGCTTACAGCAAGCTGCCTTCTGCAGTCCTGGTAATAGTTTTTACATAGCATATAAAATCTGAAAAAGGAGGAAAAGTCAGCAAAGCCCATGGATGCAGGCTGGAATGTGTGATTACTGGAATGACCTGCTCATCTCTGCACACCGAGCCCTCTCCTGTGTTTGTTGTGGGGCACCACCAACACCACGAGAGGGAGCGTGGAAGCCACGAGAGGCCGGTGCTGGGATGGTCCCGCTCGGTGTGGGGCGGTGCTGCGGCCGTGGCAGCCGAACACCGTGCGGAACAGGTTGAAAACAGAACAGAAATGGAAATAAATTTGTATTTCAGGGCTTCGGGACTTCAAAGAATGTTTTGCACCTAAGGTTAATTTGTCTCAGGTGTCTGGAATTGCAGTTGTGCTTGGAGTCTTTAGTGCATAATCGAGGTTATTTGGGATTTCCTACTTTGTTTTTGCAGGTAGGTAAAAAGAGCCACTTAGCTGCTGAAGCTGAAATAAAAATATAATCACAAGAATAAGAGTTACTTTTATTCTGTGATTCCTTGAGCATGAGATTATGCACTAATTTTGCCTTAGGTGGTGTGGGACTGGGGCAAACTGGAGAGGAAAATGCTGCTGCATAATGTCACCTTCTGATATCAAAATGCTGCTCAGAGAAGTCTTATCCTGCAGTTGGAAGGTAATGGGTGAACCCCACCTAAACACAAAATAAAAAATGCCATTATTTCCATTTTCCCAGAGATTACTTATGAGTAATGAGTTTCAGCACGCTGATGTCAGATTATTTAGCTGATGGTTGGCAAGCAAAATTTGATGAAAATGTAAATGTATCACTGTTTATTATATTCAATAAATGGAACAGGTTTGGGGCAGAAGTTTTTAGAAGATGGTGAGTCAGCTCTAACTGTTGAGATATGTTCCAGATATAATGTGGAGTAAATGTAAAACAATGATCATTGTTAAAGGTTTAAAGGAAGGACCATGTACCTGGACTGTCCCCAACAGGCGTGTCTAAATCAACTCTGTTTTTTCCAGCCTGCTCTGGTTTTCTGCCTCACAATGTGAGGGTCTTTCCTAGGACCTAACTCAGATCTTCCCTGCAATGTCCAGCAAATTCTTCATTTTCTCTTTAGCTTGGGAACACAGCTGATCCATTCTGGAGTGGGTCTGCATCAGTCAGGTGATTGTTATTCCTTTCTTCTCTTTTTAAGCTAAACAAACCCGATTTTTTCAGGCTTTGTTTTTTGAAAATACTTTTTAGGGGGTATGTTATATGAAAAATTTAAAGCAACTGTGTATAAGCTGGGACCCCAGCTAAGAGTGAAGCCATTCCTCCTGGAGGAGCAGCAGGAATGTGGTAGGTACCCTATTCTGGGATGAAATGTCCCCTTTACAGTGTTGGTGCCATGCCTTGGATTCATTAATCAGCTGGGATATCCCGTTGTGAGCCTGGAGCTGTTCAGAAGGACTTTGGCTGTGCCAGAGGCTGCTGTCAGTGCTGCAGCCAAGAGCTGGGTTTCTCCCTGGCCCTGCAGCTGGGGGAGTTGTGGCTGGGTGAGGAGGGAACATAGATGTTCTCCTTGCAGCTCCAGCTGAGGAAGAGCAGGTGAAATGTGAGTGTATGAAAGGTCACAACTGGCCAGAGTCCACCTGGGTGAGTCCTGTCTGGCATTTCAGAGTGTGCACTTCTGTCTGCTCAGCAATGAGCTGGGTGTGGTTCTTGCCTCTTGGACTGTGGTGTTAAAAATCCCCTGGCAGATCTCTATTCAATGACTTTATCTATCCATCTTCATTTCCTTTCCTCTCAGTCAAATTTGAAGATAGGTACAGCCGTGCACAAAGTTGCAGTGGTGCAGGGGTAGCATATTATGATGTCCCTTCTCTGTCAGAGTTTGTTCTCTCACAGCCTGCTCCTCTCTCGGGAGGCCGTGGGGAGGTTTGGGACATTTCCTTGCCTAGCCCCAACCCCGGCCAGCAGCTCTGAACTGGCTCCCTCACTGCCCGGTGACAATGGCTCACCATTCCAGGAGGCTCTGCAGGGTGTAGCTGCAGTGCTCAGCTCGCTGCCCTGTCCTGTGGGCTGCTCCAACTACAACGGGGAACAAAGGAGAAACACCCAAACGTCAGTGTGAATATTCTCCTTGGAAAAAGGGGCAATGGGGTTTGGGAGGAAGGAAACTTCTTGCTCTGCTCAGTCCATTCCAGCAAGCTGCAGGGTATTTGAGAGGCTGAAGAAGACCCTGAGACAATGCATCCAGCTTAACACGGGGTCAGATGCACTCAGTGGAACAAAGTCCTTCCTGGGAAAGTTGGTGTAATGCAGGATGGTGTCAGCAAGGTCCAGAGTATTTAAAATCAAGGTCTGAGCAGGCTGAGCAAGGAGCCCTGAAGCAGGACTCACTGCACCACGCTGCTGCTGCTCAGGCCCCACTGTGCTCTGATGCTGCTGCTTGGGGTCCCCTCCCCACCTGCCATTATAGCTGTGCTTGCCCTTCACGGGTTCTGTGCTTTCCTGCACCATTTTCACATTATTCCCCTGCAGATAAGGAGGACATACCATCCATACATATACATACCATACATACATATACATACCATCCATACATATACATACCATACATACATATACATACCATACATACCAGGCTGGGCTTTGGCATTGGCTCGGGCCAGGAGCTGGAATTACTCCTGGTGCTCCCCTTGGGTGCTGCTCCAGCTGGCCCCCAAATCCCCTCCAGAAGGAGATAGGTGGGGGTAAAACAGGTTTCTCATCTGCTCAGACAGCAACAATCTTCATGCCCCAAGCAAACCTTGCTTGTCCCACATCTCTTCTTGCTGTCCTTTAGTATCCTATGCCAAAAAGTTCTTGTTTATGTAGTTAGATCCTGTTTGCTGCTGCTGGCTCCATGCTGTCTCCATGGATAGCTTTATAGGATGGCCAGAGGTCCTGCCTGGCCCAAATCAGCCTTATTCCTTCATAGCAGTGTAGTGAAATAAACCCTTTTCTTCCACCCAAAATCTGGTTGGCCGTTTTCTAACAGCATCTGTGGAGTCCAGGGTCAGTGCCCCGCATGCCAGGAAAGCCTGTAGCAGAGAGACTTGGCTTCTTCTGGGCTTGGGGGGCTCCTCTATTGCACCCCCATCCATCCCTCCTGCCAGTCCAGTGTCCCTGCCGTGCTCCCAGTGCAGAGCTGTGCCTGTGACGTGAGAGCCACTCACAGGAGAGCTGCTCCTCTCCTTGGTGCCTGTCAATATTTGACAGCACAAACATTTTAAAGTGCAGAGGAAAAGTGCACTCAGCCTCCCTGGCTGGTTGTACGTGATGCTGCCCTTCTCCTGTGACACAAAGAGCTCAGACCCAGGGCCATGTGCAGAGCTGGAAATTTCGTCCTTGAGTGGTGCTGGCGCAGGGGCACTGCTGTCCCCTCCTGGCAGTGCAGCACGATGGACTCGGCTGCTTTGTGGAGCAGCTTCATGGGGAAAAGCAGGTTGGCTTTGACTTTTAGGCTTCTTTTTGTCCTGGTTAGCAGATTTTTACATTTATCTGTGGATAAAAAGCTCTATGGTCTTTCTCTCTGCACTAGAGATGAAAAGGTATTACGTTGCCCTGATGGCCTTTGTCTTGACATCCCCAGAAATACTTGGGAAGTGCAAGAGAGGCCATGGCAAATGGTCTGGAGTGACTTACAGTAGAATTTTCAGTAAAAACAGCCAAGGAAGCACCAAGCAAAATCTCTGCAGCATTAAATGTGGCTTCTTTGGTTTGCTGAGCCATGTTTCTGTCACTCTGGGTCCCACAGGATTGTGTGTGGTTCTGACTTTTTTCAGCAGCAACAATAATGATCCCCTATGCCACTCCAGTGCCTGCCCTTGGCACTGCTCAGTGCATTTATTTCTGAAAGTGGGAGCTCCTGCCCAAAGGCTGCTGTCACCCACTAGCTCAGTGAGGCAGTCTCTGATGAGTGAGAGGAACCAGAGGGGTCAGACAGCTCCTCATGGCCCTGCAGCACCTGGGGCAGAGAAGCAGCACAAGCATCCCCAGGCACCCACCACACCAAGCAAGGCTGCACAGAGCAGCCTGGGCTGAGCCTGGGCTCTGAGGCTGGTGGCTGGCTCTGGCACTCTGAGGATGAGATTATGAGTGAGGACATGGACTTTTCAGATTTGATGTGGGAACCAGGTTGTCTCAAAAGCTTGTGAGACTTCACTAAGCTGCTCAACCAGGGTGTGAGCTGGGAATTAGGAGCAGGTTCTCCTCTGCCTCCCAAGAAAGGACTCACAACTTGTTTTGGGTTCGGTTGGAAACATTTTCCAATCTGGTGAAGTACATCAGCTCATCCACACATCACTCAATGTACAGACATGACCTGCCCACCCCATGGAGCCAGCACAGCTGCCAGCCAGCTGCTCCCCCTGTGCACCTTAACCAGAGCAGAGCAAGGGTGACACTCAGTGCTGGGTGACTTTGGCAGAAGTGATTCTCCCCTGACCCTGTGGTACCAAGCGTGGGCTTGCTTTGCCCTTGCATTGCTCGCCACCAGCTGTAAGAGCTGAGTGTTTATCTCAGCCCCATTACTGCCAATCTTCCCCCTATTAATACACACATAATTCACAGGCAGAAAACATCTTTTATTGCAGTGATGACATTTAAACCAAGGGAGGTATTGGTTTGTTGTTTTGGGTTTTTTTTAAATTCATTTTTAGACAATCAGCTTGTTTGCTCCAGCCTCCACTCCACAATTGTGTGACTGCAGCCTTCTCCATCCAGCTGAGAGGGAATTATGTGTGCAAGAGGAGTCAGGGCTCCCTTCCCAGCTCCCTGCTCACACTGCTAGGACTGCCGTGCCTGCTGCACACCCAGCTGCCTGCTCGAGGATGCTGCACCTGAAAGTCCAGTTCCTGGATGATTCCCAGAAGATCTTTGTAGTTGATGTAAGTGGGTATCATATTCTTACTGATTTTTTGTGTTAATTATTAAGTCATTGTTGCTCTGAAGGATTGCATGGTCTCTGATCGCTTCTGGTTTTCAGCCTTAAAAAAAAACCCAAAAAACAACCCAGGAAACAAAGAAGGAAACTAATCCAAATTCAAAATTATAGTACTAATTGGTAAGTGTATTTTGGTATCAACACATTCCTATGCTCTCTTCTTATTGGCATTATTTATGAGGAAGAAGGAATGGCTTTTACTTACCTGGTGTGATATTTAGTAAATCAGTTAATATGAAGTGATGGTCTTGATGAGTGTCGAGTTCTCTCATTTATCTGGCTGTCAGAGTTAACATTCAGAAAGGAAGTAACGTCTGGGAACAGAATAAAAATAGCATATTTGTCCAAGTTATCCCTGGTGAGAAACATCTGCACGCATCTCTTCCTGGGCATTCAGTTGAAAAAGAAAACTGTGTGGTTTTGTGAATAGCTGAGGAAAAAAATTCACTCTTATTTTCTGCATGTCAGTGTCCCATAACACATTATAATTAATAATTCACATTTAACAAATGCTAGCTCTGAACCAAGTTTAAAATGTTAAGTATTAATATCTATGGTGTTAGATTTATGCATATGTGTATAGATAACTGAAAACAGGTATGTCTTGACTGTGTGTTAGAAATATCTTTTTACAAGTGTGAGTGCACATTTACTGTTGGTTAGGGTTTGATAATCACAGTAGCTAATTTAATTAGCTAATTCAAGTAGATTTGTTCTGGTACTTACCTGCATCTCCTGTGGGAGCAGAGTGTTTAATATAAAATAGGGTTTTTTTTCAAGTTCTGTGGCTTTTCTTCTCCTGTCCTCTTCTGTGGTTTATAGCACAGCCTGAGAACTGCTCTCTCAGATGTGTGGCTCTCTTTCTTTGTGAAAGTATTTTGCACAAAGAGGATTATAAAGCAATTCCATCTCTTGACACAGTATGGAAATTGTTTGATTTAGTTTAATTAATCCATCCTAGTCCAGGAGTCAGCTTAAAAATGAGACTAGTAATTTTAAAATACCTTCCCCTCCTCCCCCCATTGACTAGATCATGTCATAGTGAGACACAATTCAAAAGATGCTTCTAGTAGAATGTTGCTGCATTTTTTTCCATCTCTGTTTTCTTATTTGCTCAAAACACAGCACTATAGCTCTGCACGACATGTTATTGCAGCAAATAGCTTCCATTAGAGGAACTCCTGGTCATTTCCTTTTTTAGCATGGAATGGTATTGGAAACCCCTTTTAGGCATTTCATGCATTTGCTGCTGCTGTGTAGGTACAATAAATGAGTAGCTGAATTAGTGACTTCTCCAGTATAAAAGGAGTGCTTTGGGCTAAGTTTTGAGCAGTATTTTAAGCAACTCTTCCTAAAGCCCTCCTGACTTTGGAAAGCTCTTTTGAACGTGGAGTACTGCAGTATAATGGGAGGGAAAAGGACAAAAGCAAGAAAACACAGAGGGCCTGATTCCCCCTGCACCTTACTCCCAGTGTAAACATCCCTACCTGCCTCACATGGGTGTCACACCTGCTGGCATCTACAGCAAGGTCTCATTTCCAGGCTGCTTTGCATGAGAACAAGTTCCTCTCCTGGTACTGGATGCTGACCCAGGAAGGTTTCAGCCTCCACCTGCATCCTTGCTGACAGCTGGGACCACTGAGTTCAGCCTGCACTGGAGGTGGTTCCTGGGATTACAGATCTGAGCTCCCAGGGCAGGGGAGGGAAGGGGCTTGGCACATCTCTGAATGTCCCCACTGTGCCCTCCCTGCTGAACACCCCGTGGCTGGGCTGGGATGCTGCTGGGCAAACCAAACAAGCCCAGAAAAACGAGTTGCTGAGGCTGAGTGAAGGACAGAGTCCTCCTGTGGTCATCTGTCCCTTGTAAAGCTGGGAATTCCTTGATAGGAGGTGTGTGGCAGAGGGCACAGGGAGCCTTAGGGCTGGTGGCTTTTGGTTCATGACACTGTGCAGCACACCTGATGGGGCAGGTATCTCCCAAGGTGATGGGAAAAGATGACCCCAAATCCCACGAGCTGTTGCTCAGCCCTAAACCACAGACCTGTCCTATGGGAACGCTGCAGAAATGGGCTTTGCTGTTGGACTGCAGCTGCTGCCAGGGTTCCTTTGGGGACATGGGGGTGTGTGTCCCACGTGTTGCACATGTTGCTGTCTACCTCTGGAAGTGCCTCTGGCTTTCTGATTCTGCTCACAGTCCCAGATGCTTTCACTGAGGAGTGAAGAGCCAGTGCAGCCTCTCCTTTTCACCTTCTACTCTGGAGTTTCTGTCTGTGGGTGCTCACCTGGCCCTGCATCACTCTCAGAGGCACCTGTAGGCTTGGACATGGGACAAGCAGCCCCATGTGTCACGCTTCTGCCTTGCACTGAGCTCCTCCAGCACAGACCCCACTTCTCTCACTTGGTGCAGTGCAGGGCTGATGCTGCTGAGCACGACTGTACCCCAGTGCTTGAGGAAGCACTGGCCTTAGCACCCCAAACTCCAGCCCAGGACACCTGCAAGACACTCTACAAGAGAAAGGATCTGCTTCTAAAGCATACCCTGCAGCAACAGGGCTGTGTCTCCCAGTGAGCAGGTTTTCCTGGGTTTGGGGCTGCTCCTGTCCCATGGTGCCTGCCCTGGGCAGTGCTGGGCTTGGAGCAGAGTGGGTTGCTCCCAGCAGACATATGGCAGGTAATAACCCAGTAAGAAATCCTTGTCTTTCCTGGCTGCCTGACAAAGGGCAAGGCCTTTCATGCTAGAAAATTCTGGCTTGTAAAAAAAACATTTATAATTTTTTTAATTACCCTTGTGATCCAGTAATTTTGAGGAGAACTGGGAGTGCTGCAGAGTGAATGCTGTTATTATGCTATCACTTTTCTGCAGCCTTTCAGCACAGAGCCAGCAATTTCATCCCAGGAGAAGCCCTGAAAGGTGGTTATTAGTGTGCATCACCACCAGCAGCCGGGTCCCTCCCGTCCCTGCTGGGGACAGCCACTGCCACAGGGAGCTGCAGCCTGCCTTCCCCTCCATCACCCAACATGCCATAATTTAGCAGCTGTCTAACCTGGCCTCTCTGCTCCAGCTTGCTTTTGCAATAACCCATCCTTCTTTTTGGTCTGCTTTGCACAAGCTGATGAAGATATATCCGGGTTTTGTTGGAGTGGGTCGCTGCCATTTTAGTTTCTGGTGCTTTCTGGAGCATTTTCCAGAGTCTGGGCCTCTTGGTTTGTTCTCCAGCCAGGTCATACAGCATGGCAAAAAGTCAAGAAAACACCCTCCTAGTGTTTCTGTTTACTGGGAATAACTACAGCCTAGCCTCCCTTATCAGCACGTAGCACCACTTAATTCATGTTGCTAAAGCCCATGGATGACTCAGAGCCCACGGCACAGGATCTCTGGTGCTGTTGCTGTTAATTACCATTAACCATAATAGCAGCTCATCCCCAGCTGTTGGGGCACACGGACTCACTGCACAGGTTTGAGGTCTGCTCCCGTTGGCTCTAAACTGAGCACGTTTGCCATGGCTGTCCCTGGTTCAGGTGCTCGTCCTGGGGATCACTCCCTGGTTAGCCAGGGACAGAACTGCCCAGACAGTGATAGTTGCAAACAGTGATTCAAAACATGGTTTGTTTTCTCTTGCTCTCCTTTCTGATTTATGTTCCTTAATAAAGGAGAGAAGTGATGGGGAGGAATCTGATTTCCAAAAGCAGGGAACACAGCATGCAATTGTCCTATTGAACATGCTGAAGCCAACAGCACTTACTGAATAACATTTTGCTGCTGCATGGTCAGGAAAGGGGTGAAGGAAGGGAGCTGGAACTTCTCTCCATCTCTTTGAAATCCCATCACGGCTGCTGTCAGCATTGCCTAACCTGCTGCTTCTGTGCTGTGTTTGTTTGCTAGCAAAAATCCTGTGGGAAAGGGCTCTTCAACCTCACCTGCAGCCACCTCAACCTTGTGGAGAAGGAATACTTTGGGCTGGAGTTTCACAGCCAGGCTGGCAACCAGGTAAGTGGAGCTGCCATCACCTGCATGGCTGAGGGATTGTTAGCACCTCCCTGAAATTCCAAATGGAAAATTAAATAGAAAGTTTTGCCATGATGGCAGAAAAACCCCAAGAATGGGAGTTAGGTGGAGAGCCACAAGCCCCAGAGATATCTACATCTCACGGGGTCTGTCCACAGCCATCCGTGTGGCACTGCCCAGCAGGACACTTGTCACAGCAGCCAGGCTGACCAACGTTTTCATGTTGAATTCTACCATGCTGCTACTGCTTTTATTCCCCATCTCTTGTGCTGTTTATTTACCTAACTCTTCATTGCCTTATTTTAGGTCTGGTTGGAACCACTAAAACCCATAACAAAGCAAGTTAAAAGTAAGTATTTCAAGAATAGAATTCTTATAAATCACTACCAGTGAGAGTCTAGCACAGACATGTTCATGCAGTGTTGTTGTTTGGGGATAGGATCTCTGGCTTCTAGCCCTTAACCAAGCTCATTTTAGAGGATGAGGCTGGGCAGGATTGTTTGCAAGGACACCTCAGTCCATACAAAATCCCGTTGAAATACTGCTGCCTTAGCAATCTGGTATCTGCACCATTTTAGGCTGGAGCTGTTAATAACCTGACAGCTTGGCAGAGGAGCAGGGGTGGCTGAGTGCCTGTGTGGCCGTGCTGGCAGTGTGACAGGCACTGCTCCTGCGTGCCCTCCTTTTCCCTTTGCAGCTCAGAGTGGCCCAGGCACCTGCATGAGGCAGGGTCCCCACTCTGCCCTGCAGCTCCTCCCCAGCCCCACGGAGATGCTGCAGAGCCTGACCTGAATCCAGGCCCAGCTTCCTCTGCCATGGCCATGACTGGTGTTAACACAGTGCTGCTTTCAGCACAGGCCTCTTTCCATCCCCATAATATTTTCCCCAGTACAACTGGGAGGAGAGCTTGGGGCCATGACCTCAGTCTTTGCCATGGGGAGGCTGCAGAACACAGTTTGCATGAATTTCCCTGAAAGGGGAAAGCCTGGTAAAGAACCTTCCCTTTCTGGGTGCACCACAAATGGAATTGTTGCAGGTACCTATTTCCTTTACCCAGTGCCTTCTGGCCTGTCCCTCTGAGCCATCCCAGGGTGTTCTGTGACTGTCGGTGCTTACATAATTGCCTCCCTCTCTCCAAACACTTTGCCTTGGGCTTGGCCACTTGTTCTCACTCATCCCACAAAAAAAACCCTTTGCCTAAGCAGCCTCCTATGGAGCTGTTACATCCCAAGTGCTTGGAGGGCTGAGTTTAACACACAGCCCCAGTGATGGCAATTATATCAAGGCTCTGGCCATGCTCACTGGCACCATTTCATGGAAACCCCCTTCCAACAGGGATTTTTGCAATTTAAAAAATTGCTGGGGCATTTTTCTCTTTAGTATTCTTTAGATATCCAAATCTCTATTTGCATCCATTGGTAATACTGGGGGCCTGGTTTTGGGGGGCAGGCTGTAATCCCTGATTTGTCAGGGTCCAGATAATTTGCTCTGTAAGGAGGCAGCATGTGTGAAGAGAGTTTTAAATGTTCTCAATAGACATGTAAAAGAAAACTTATGAAGATGTTGTGTTTTAAGATCCTAAGGAGGTTCTTTTCAAATTTATGGTGAAATTTTTCCCAGTGGACCCCGGCCACCTGAGAGAAGAACTAACCAGGTACAGTGCTTGTTTTATTACTTTCTTACCACACAGTTCTGTGTTTTTGCAGTGTGTTAATTCTTTCTCTTCATCCACCCCAGCCTGCCTGTGAACAGTGGTTATCCTAAGTGTCCTAAGTATTACGCTTTACAGAACAAAACCAGAGAATATATTTTCCTGATCCTCTGTTTTTAAACACAATCCACTTGAAGGATCAGCTGTCTTATGAGGCTGCAATTTGTTTACTACCAGACACTTTAGCAGTTGGGCACAGAGTCTGACTGCTCAGTCTAGCTCCTGCCTCAAGCAGCATTCTGAAAGAACAACTTCGGTTTTATTTTTAAAAATGACATTGTTAGCTTTTACAGTTAGCTTTTAGAGAAAGCATTGCAAACAAGGACTAAGAATAAAACCAAGACAGTGCTTTTGCAGAACGTCAGCCCCAATAGAGGCAAACGCCCTCCAAAACAGAAAGGAATGTTAATTTTGAAATCTACTAATGAGCATTTCAATGACAGGGACGTGCTGGTCGCAGTGGTGCCCTTCTGCAGGGGCTGCACGCTCATCCTGTGACCCTGCGGACGTGCATCCCATGGGTTGAGATATGGGAACAGCACGGCCCTGGTGGCTCAGCCCAGCACTCAGTTCCCCCCAGGGCATGCTCCTGTGCCCCTCCACAGGTACCTCTTCACCCTCCAGATCAAGAAGGACCTGGCCCAGGGGCGGCTGCCCTGCAGTGACAAGAGCGCGGCGCTTCTCGTCTCCCACCTGCTGCAGTGTAAGGGCAGGGGGTGCCTGCAGGGACAGTGTCCCTTCCCTGGGGACTGTGGCTGTGCAGCCAGGGCTTCCCTCTGCACTGACCCTCACAGTCTGATCCGTGCTCTCCCCGTGTCCTCAAAGCCGAGCTGGGCGACTTCCACGAGGAGACAGACCAGCAGCACCTGGCCACACACAGGTACCTGCCCAACCAGGAGTACCTGGACAACAAGATCATGCACTACCACCGGCGACACAGGTAAGGGCTGCCCCACACCACGGCCCCACAAATCCCCTGACAGACGTCTGCTGCCAGGATGTTCCCATCAGCAGGCAGGGCCGGCAGTGGTGCCAGCATGCACACCTGCAAAATGGCATTTTTTCAGCCCATTTCTGCCTTCTCACGCCTGCTGCTTCCCGTGTGTTTGTGTCCCCAGAGGGAAGACGCCGGCCGAGTCGGATGTTCAGCTGCTGGACGTGGCCAGGAAGCTGGAGATGTACGGGATCCGCCTGCACCCCGCCAGCGACGGCGAGGGGACACAGATCAACCTGGCCGTGACACACATGGGGGTGCTGGTGCTGCGGGTGAGCCCGGGGCTCAGCGGTGCCTGCCAGCACCCGGGCGGGGTGGCCCCTTCAGCTGGGGGCGACCCTTCTCCCCTTTGAGCTCCCCAAATCCTCCCAAAAATGAGGACGTGTGTTCCGCAGATCGCGGCGGTGAAGGTGATGCTCTGGCACTCAGCCCCGCCGCGCCCCCAGCACTCGCTGAGTGCCACCGAGCCCGCCCCGGCTCTGCTGGCCCTTGTCCCACGAGCGTGGTGGCCCTGTGAGCAGCACAGGTCCCACGGCTCTGCCACATGTGCTCACCGTGTAATCTTCCAGCGAAAATAGCCCCCCACGTCTGTGCAATTACATAACGCTGTAATCACGGCCGAGCTGCACAGTAAATACAGACTTCCTCTGCTCCCACACCAGCTGATTTCAACCTGGGAACATCTTGTCACAGCAAAAACAAAAACAAAAAAACAAACCCAAACATAAAACCTAGCTGTAGATCTGCTGTTGGTAATTAGTGCTGCCAGACCTGGTTATTTATTCAGAGCCATAAACACCCCTCACGCATGATTAGAGCATCTGTGAGCCCATTAAAATCTGGGCTCTCCCAGAAAGCTGAGAGGGTCCTGGTGCTACAGAGTGGAGTAACACAATTTTCCCTGGTTCCGCCGTGGCACCAATGTTTTGTGTCTGCATCTAACCTTGTGCAAAGTAACCATGGGGTAAAGTGTGCTTGCAGCCTACTTAAACCCGGTCTAAAGGTGTGGGGGTGAGCTGAGCTACACATCCCAGCAAAGGAGGGGAGAATGTTAATTCTTTGAGGCACTGATTATTCCTTAACTCACAGGATATTTGAGCTGGCACAGATAGGACTCCCTGCCTTGACCTCTCTGAGGTTTGCCTGGGGATTCTGGATTTTGCAAAGAGCTTCAGCAGGCAGAGTTAAGCCCCGAACCTCAGTTTCTACTTGTAGAACCAGCTGATGGAGAGTCAAACACCAAACCTCAGCACCCGTTCCTGAGACCCCAGCAGCTCCAAGAGCTGCATTGGAGTCTGATGCAGTGTCTTGTGAGCTCAGGGCTTGGCCCACTGCATTTCTCTATTTACAGGTTGCCCCATCAAGCTGTAATTGCTTTGTTTGTCCTTGCAGGGCAATACAAAAATCAACACCTTCAACTGGTCCAAAATTCGCAAACTGAGTTTCAAGAGGAAGCATTTTCTCATCAAGCTCCATGCAAACATCTCTGTAAGTACCAAGCCACAGGCAGCTGCTGGGCTCGGGAGCAGACAGCTGTGGATGGAAGGTCAGCCACACAAAGTCCCCAGTTCTGAGTAAAGTCCATTCCTTCTGCTCATGATGGTGCTCCTTCTTGAGTGCAATATGTGCTGCTCCTGTGTCCCCAAGGTGACAGTGCCCTGCCTAGAGCCACTGAGAGCCCACATGACCCTTGGAGGATCAGGAGGGCAAATGTCAGGGCTTGTCCCGTGCTCCTGACCCCTTTCTTGTCTCTGGCACACAGGCACTGTGCAAGGACACGCTGGAGTTCACTATGGTGAGCAGGGACACCTGCAAGGCCTTCTGGAAGACATGTGTGGAGTACCATGCCTTCTTCAGGCTCTCTGAAGAGCCCAAGTCAAAGCCCAAAGCCCTTCTGTGCAGCAAAGGTTCCAGCTTCCGCTACAGGTAAATTCCTAGGGAAACCCAAACTGCTGGGGCTGGGAAGGGCCTGGGGGTGGTTCTGAGCCTCCCTTTTATGTCGGCCCTGTCTGAATCGGAGGGGATAATAACAGCTACTTCTGGAGAGACCCCTGCTTCAGTCCTGCTGCTTCCCCTCACATGGGACATGAGGGCTGCCCAGGGCTGGGGCTGATGGTGCTGCTCACATTTCTCCCTCCATGCTGCAGTGGGAGAACTCAGCGGCAGCTGCTGGAGCACGGGAGGAAGGCTAAGATGAAGAGCCTGCCCTTTGAGAGGTACCAGGGGCATGGAGGGGGTCAGTGCCTGAGGGGATTTGGAGAAGGGAAGGACCCTCCTGGCCACACACCTACCCATGCTCTTGTCCTGCAGGAAACACTACACATCCCGCTACGATGAGAGGCAGTGCCGCTCCTCCCCGGACCTCCTGACGGATGTATCAAAGCAGGTAAGTCCCCATGGCATCAGCAATAGCTCTGTGCCAAGGTCTCGGCATCGCTGCCCCAGCTGGAGGAGCTCAGCTGGAGGCCAAGCCAGACCCTCAGCTCTGGCTGCTCCCTTCCCACCCCGCTCTGGGCACCCACCTGGAACCCACGCCCTCTGTGCCCTGCCCAGGTGGAGGAGCTGCGCCTGGCCTATGGCAGCAGGGGCTCTTACCACGCCAACGGAGTGCACGGCTCCGAGCCCTCCCTGGACAGCCGGCGCCGCAGCTCCACCATGGAGGTGACCTTTGCCACTGAGCTGGACCGCTCCAAGCCCGAAGCATCCTCCACCTTCCTGCCCCACTCCAAAAGCTCGTCTGCCTTCCCTCTGCTCTATGCCGAGCTGGAGATGGAGCGGGCGTGGGAGCCCATCGACCTCTTTGGAGCCAGGAATCCCTTGACATCCTTTCGGCCCCACCACCAGTTTGCTGGGAACAGTAAAAGCACCTCTGTGGGCAACATGAGGGAAGTGAGCACCCGGCCGCTGGTGTACACGGATGTGCCCTGTCCTATTCCTGTGGTGGCCCCGGCCCCCCCTGTGCTCTTCTATCTGGACAGGGCTCTGCAGTCCCCATGTCCTGCGCTGGCCCCTGGCGAGCACACAGCAGGACTGGCCGGTGCAAGCGGCCCCGTGGCAGCAAAACCCCCCGGACAGAGCCCGAGCGGGACCCAGGCTGGGCAGCTCCATCGTGAGGCTGCAGGCACGGCCGGGGGCACGGGCATGGTGCGGGAGAACAGGTCACTGGCTCGCTCCTTTGATTACGGCCTTCAGGAGCAGCCTCCCAAGCGCTCTTGGAGCCAGTCGGACATGAAAACCATCCGCTTCCCCTACGGCTCTGAGTTCAGGCCCCTGGGGCCGTGCCCGGCACTGAGCAGCAGGAAAGGGGGTGTTTTTTGGCACGTCCCAGCCCAGCAAGGGCTGGCTCCGGGGCCGCGGCGCTCCACCGAGCGCTACCTGGGCAGCAGCACCGAGTCCAGCGACTCTGACTCGGACCTGCTGGCCGCTGACTACTGCTCCCTGTACGGCCGCGTGCTGCGCTCGCCCATGGCCCGTGTGCGGCTCTCCTCAGGCAGCCTCCAGCTGAGCGAGGAGGATGAGGAGGTGTCCTTTGCCACCAGTGCTGCGGAAGAAAGGATTGCCAGAGGGGCCTCCAAGTATTTCACCTAGGTGCCTGACACCGGCCAGAGGGAGCAGAGGTGGCTGGTGCTGAGCCAGGGTCAAAGAATGGTGACACTCTTTGTTTGCAGGTCTGCTTATTTGATGGGATTGTGTTGTGTGAGTGCTCTTAGCTATAGAGGATGTTAATGAACATCAGGGGTGTGGGTGTTCAGAAGTATTCAACCCCTGCACCACACTTGGAAGCTGGTTTGCCTTTGCCACCACGCTTTGAGAGGGGGAGTCTCCTTCAGCCAGAGGCCAGGGATCTCCCAAAGCCCTGCTAAGCCCTGATGTCCTGCCCAAGTTGATGCTTGGAGCAAAGCTGCTGGAGTCTTCATTGAGGGGAGAGAGAAAGGGACTTCTCACTGAATAGCTTCAGCTGCTGCTTTTCCCAGCTGCAGGGAAGCACACTGGAGGGAAGGGTGTTTCAGGCCCTTTTGGAAAGGAGCAAGATCTTCACGGGAGGCTGCTCCTTGAGCTGATGTCATGGGGGCAGGACAAAAGCCCAGCATAGAGCCCATCTCCTCCACCTGCCTCACCTCCCTCCAGTGCTGCCGGAAGCACCTGACACTCGAAGACAAGGCTCTGGGTGTGGTTGTCTTCTCCCTGGCCAGTTTAGAGGATTATCTTTCTCTAGAAAGATCTCAGTAGTGTTTGTCAAGCTTTTAGAAGCACCCCATGATGAGCACTGAGAAGTGGGTTCATACTCTCTAACTGTGCTTAGGCACATCAGCCATCATCTGCTGTCAGCATGGAAACAGCCCCAGTACCTCAGTGCTCTGCTCAAATCTGAGGGAGACCTGTAAGGGGGTTCTTTGGGATCCTTTGCTTCCCCAAATCTGTCCTCAGTTAAGCAGCATGAGAAAAAAAGATAATAGGAGAAGGTAGGAAAGGAACAGGCAGCTTCTTGGAAGTATTTTTATTAAAAAACTTACTGTTACCCTAAACCTATGTGAAATCAACTCGGAAATCTTGAGAATGATGACACCTCCATAAGATTTTAGCGGGGGGAATCTTGATCATTTTCTTTAAGAGCAACCCTGTAAGTCTTTGTAGGACACGACTGTAAGCAGAGGGACAGCCCAGAAAATCCACGGTGGAGAAATTAGTGCAGCCTGCTAGAAAGATTTCAGAAACATGGAAGCTGGGACCAAAAAAATAGATTGAAATGTAGAAAGAACTGGGCTAATGGGTTCTGCTCACTCTGCATATTGCTGTCCTTTGTTTCAGAAGGTGGACAATAAAAAACAATTGTTCACACTGGAGTTCTGAGTTCCTTTTTCTGCCTTGTGAAATCTGCATCCCCTGTCCTGCAGGCACCCCCCCTTCCCTCCTCAGTGCTCCAAGGAGCTGGTTTCCCTCTCCTGCTCTGCTTCCTGGCTTCCTCTGTGCCTCCACTGTCCCAGCAAATGGGGAGACTTGTGGAGATCCCTGAACACTGCTGAAAACAGACACATTTTTGGTTGGTTGCCCAAAGAAATGCATTAGCCCAAGTGAGTACATTGTAGTTTGCTTCTGCTCCTAGTTACCCTGTGCTGAAGCTGTGAATTACAGTGATCCCTCATGCTGCTCTGGCACATGTTCTACTGAAAACAGGGCTAGTATTTCTGGCTAGAGGGTTGTTTCTTCCCCATTCCCAAAGCTTTGAACCTTGGAAAGAGCAAGAATCACCACTCAGTACAACATTTAAGAATGACAGTCTGTGGGCAGTTTGGTAGAGGGTTAAGAAAAGCAGTGTTTCAAACACAGGCTGCACACACAGCCCTGGGATACATCCACAATCACTGTTAGCTCCTCAAAGCATGTGGACACACAACTTGAGCATGTCCCAGAGCAGACACAGTCCCACCATGAGAGATCATTGTACAAACACCCTGCCCAAATCTTCAGGAACTGCTAGGTCTGGTCTTTAAGACGATGCTGAGAAAACAGCATTGAGAGGGAGAAACAAGGACTTGGGAACTATTTTTGGATTTTTCCATGGACTAGGGAGCACTGGGGCACAGCATGGGCACTGTGCCTCAGCACACCCTGCACATGGTCAACAATAGCAGAGGAACAAAGCAGCTCGTCAGTAAGTGACACAAACTGACATCTCTGAGCTAAATTCATTGCATAAATCACTTTCTTGGGACTGACTAAAATTAAGGAACAATCCCAGCAAGCAGTGGCTTACTTGTCAAGGAACAATTGAAACAAGCCTTGACTAAGTCCTTCCCCTTGCTCCCTGCTCAGCCCTATTCACCCCCAAGATAAGGACATCTATTTAAGTGATTTTGTTTCCCTAGGGAAGAACACAAGGATGGAGAGAGGACGTGGAAATATTTGGTTTGCTGGTGGTGAAAGACAAACAGTAGAACCTGGAATATGTAAACTGTTATAGTCCTTACACAAAGGATTATTGAAGGGGAGAAGGCACTGCAGCACCACAGTGGGAAAACATTAAGCTACTCAGTGCATTCAGATAGAAGTAACCGGTTTATATAAAACAGATAAAAGTTTAGACAAAATAGATAAAGCTGTGAAATAAGACAAGCCAACATACACACCACTAAAACTTTACAAAGAGGAAAATAATTTTATTCCAGTGTTAAGTCATAAAACAGTTTGATAAAAATCAGACTTTTAACAATCACTAAACTGTGCAAACACATTAAACCTATGCGCTCTCCTACTCAGCTGTTGAAACTGCAAGTCAAGAGCAGGTGTGATGACACTACACTGACTGCACAGAAAGGAATGGACGGGTCAGAGACCAAGGGCTTAAAGAATGGTTACATTGATAAAGGACTCACCAACCCGAGAACAAATACATTTCTCTATTCTGCAATTCAGACTAGTTTGATAAGATTACTTCAGCAACAATTCTTCTCAACCTACAGAAGGAAGCCTGGCAAACCAAAAGAGTAAGATGGTTCCTGCATGAATATTTTGATCTATCTTTCCATTAGCTATCTGCCAGCAACAGAATACTGCTGATTGAGTTACACAGTTCATCAATAACTAACATGTGGGAAAAAGACAGCTCATCTCTGGAACCAGCAATACAGATGTCCCTTCTTAGGGCCTAATTATAGTTTTATGATGCACAGAGACTTCAGGCATATGCAGCACAATAAAAAACTTTCTTGAATGGACTGAAATACAAGAGAGTGAGTCTGTTTTGTACACGTGGGGGAGGTTTTCCCATGCTGTCCCACGAGGCAAGTATACATCTCACCCATTCCACAGAAAAAGAAGAGGCATCATAGTTCAGCTACTTATTACAGCTATATCTCAAACATGTCAGGTTCCAATCTCCCATGTCATTTGCTAACCTGACCTACCCAGAATTGTTCAGAGTTGCATAGATTAAAGATCCTGTGGCAACAGGGTAGAGCCACCAGTTATGAAACTCAGGAGGAATTCCTATCAGCTCTTCCCTCAGACTTCCACAGAAAATGAACACCTTTAAGGGAAGTGACATGGAAGTAAAAACATGTTTTCAATTCTGAAAAATGTATATGGAGCTCCTTAAAATGAGGTTTGTGTTGAGGCTGCTGAGGTGAAAGTCGAGGGAGCTGTGGCACAGCCTTTGTGTCCCTGTGCAGAGGCCAAAGGCAGCCAGGGCTGTGACAGGGCTGTGCCAGGGCTGCACTTTCCTCTCTAGGAAAGGAACCAAAGTGAGCCCCGGGACTGCTCCATCCATTCCCAGCTGGAAGGTGTCCTCTGGACAAGGACAGTGTGGGGCACCCAGAGCTTTGCAGGGAACACCTTTCTCATAACACGAGTCTGTGACAGACGTGTCCACACCTCTGCACAGCTGCTGAAATCCAGAATAAAATGATGCACAACAGAACGAGCTCATGAAAGTTTACAGAACTTAAATATTTATTTTTAAACCATTTTAAACCCCCCAAAACATTGAAATAAGCTTCATCTATAAACAGATTTACAAGACTAACAACTACATAAGCTAGAGGAGCACTACAATTTGTTTCTGTGATGCAGTTATTTTGTAAAGCTTCAGATCAACTGTATTTACAACTTTTGCTGCTTTTACATTTATAAAAATATTTATTTAATCCATAACATTATTGTTTTCAAAAACTATTTCCAGACTTTTTTCTCAGATATAAATTCTAATTGAATTTCAGTTATATAGCAGATGAAAGTTTTAAACAGAAACATTTTTTTAAAATTAAAACAAGGAGTTAAAAGTAATTTTTTTACAGTGTAGGCACCATTGAAAATAATTGTCCTTGGCATATCTAACCACCATCTCTCACAAGTGTCCTTTATATAAAAACGATGTAATGGCAACATTTGACGAAAAATGCAGTATTTACTTGCACACCATTACTTTTTCAATATTTGGCAGATATATTTCAGATTCTTTAAAATGACTTTTGTGCAAAAACAAAATGTGCAGGTCTGAACCATAAAATAAACACACCCAGCCTTTATCAAAAATAAATTTACACCAACAGTTCCACAGCTAAGTACTGAAAAACAATCCCAGTTCAAAACTTCAGCATAATATACATACTGGGTTTAAAAAGGGAAAAAACCAAATCAAAACAAAACAACAAAAGAGATTACCCATCTAGCAGTACCATAAATATATAACTGAAAGCAACTTTATAGTCTTACCTACTTTTTATGAAAAAAAATCACTCCGTACTGCACAGTACTACCTTTTTGTGAAAGAATATCTATAACTCAGTTATTTGCATATTAACTGGTAAATACATATTTAAAATACACTTTCAGAAAATTATAAACAAATTATGTTGATGTACTGTATTTAATGTATTTCAGAACAAAAATGTGTATAAATATCTTACAGGAGAAACAACACCACCACACAGAACGCTGGTGTTACACCGATACCTGCGTGTGAGGTATGTAACATGCGACGCTCGGCTTCTCTGGCTCCCTTCCACCCAGGCATGTATACTCAGAGGAAAAAAAAATTAAATTAAGTTAAATTGGACTTCAGGTTTTGTCCATTATTGCCGAAAGCCCCA